ATAATACATTATTTTACTATATAAAGATTACGGTTAATGGATTCACGATTAATATTTCAAGATGTAAATTCAAGATCGACACAATAGGGTTTAGGGTTTAGGGTTCAGATTTAGGGTTTAGGGTTTAGGGTTTAGGTTTAGGTTTAGGGTTTAGGGTTTAAATATAGGGTTTAGGGCTTAAGTTTAGGGTTTAATAATGTTCACTTGGGTGAAGAAATAAACGATAATTGAGGAAAGAAAACATGGATGGTAAAATGATAATGAAAGAAAGAAATGTTGTGGAGAATGATATATTTACCCAGTAAAATCAAACAGGGTATATCTAGTATGTTAAAACGATATATTTTAGAAGTTTAGTAACTAAGTTTAGGTGGGGCTGTAATGTATATTCCATATCCATATATATATATATATATATATATATATATATATATATATATATATATATAGGGCTAGGTTATTTTGTTTTTACTAAGTATTGTGTGCCAGAATGCACAGATCTGGACCAACGGATGAAATTGATCAATTGACATAATTTGAGAGTGTATGATATTACAATGGGGTAACATGTACCATATAATCACACAATTTTTAGCAAAAGGGTATTTTGGACAATTAACTACATTTATAAAAGGAAATTTTCGAAATTTTAGGGATGATTAATTCTCCTAATTTAAAAAAATCTGAAATTTTTAATAAATTCAATTTCAATTTTTAACGATTTTATTCTATCAGAATATTTTTTGTTAGAATGATACTCTTTCAGAATTTTATTCTAATATAATATTATTGAAGAAAAACAAAATTCTTGAATAAGATGTTGAAAAATAACCAACGTTCTAATATATTCTTTTACATCCGAATTTAAATTCAAATTCATACATATTCTTACAGACTAAAAATCTTATACATTTTAAATATAGTTATAAATATTCTAAAAAGAATATCAACAAAAATGAATAACATTCTTAAAAAATAACAACATTCTGCTAGAATACTTTCGTTCTCCATGTTTTCTTCTTGAATTCTGAAAGAATATTGTTGTTTTTGGACGTTGAATCCTGAAATTCTAAAAGAATTTAATGTATTCAATAGTCACCATGTAGAACACTGCCCTGGTCAACGACATTCTGCTAGAATACTCTCGTTCTCCATGTTTTCTTCTTGAATTCTGAAAGAATATTGTTGTTTTTGGATGTTGAATGCTGAAATTCTAAAATTCTGCTAGATATTATCTGATCAAATCTTAGATAATAGAATATTGTTGTTTTTGGATGTTGAATGCTGAAATTCTAAAATTCTGCTAGAATACAAAGAATATTCTGAAATTCTGCTACATATTATCTGATCAAATCTTAGATAATAGAATATTGTAATCAATAAAGAAAATAAGATACCAAGAACACCAAATAAAAGAAAAGATAATCAATTTTCAAAAATTAAACAATTCAAGGCATTATAATAGAATACATGAATAAATATTCTTACAGAATAAACTAATCTTGCAAAATGGTTTTGAATATTCTTAAAAAATAAAGTATTCTTGCATAATGGTTTTGAATAAACTAAGTCATGATGTATTCAAATCCAGAAGAAACTTAAAATGCTAGTAATCTAAGCCCTAAAACTGATGAATTTTATATGGATTTAACTATGTAGTTGAACTAAATGAGATCCATTAACTGAAGTTACTAAATTGCAGTAGATAGTTGAAAACTAATAAGATGCTTCAAGAATTTAAACACACACCATCGGCATCGCGGGGAGGTCCAGAAGCGCCTGAGATCTTGCCTTGTGTTCCAGATGGGGGAAAGGTTTGGAGAGTTGAATCTGCAACAACCAACAACCAAATTACTTAATGCTTACAATATAAACCAGCTACCAATGAATAAATTAGGGTTCAGATCTAGTATCGAAGTGATGAAAACGCAATTGAAGAAGAGGAGAAGAAGTTTTACAGGAACAGATCCATAAACATTCTGGTTGTCAATGGCTGTGTAATTTCCGGACATCATCTTGAATTCCCCTGTATCAAAAGTATGGTACCGATCCGGAGAGTATTTCTTCTTTGTTTATGGATCTCTTGTCGGGTCTGAGCTCCCATACCCTAACCCTAACCCGTCTTCTCTCTAGCCGCCACCATCCATTCGGAGTTTACCCACCCGCCATCTTCACCCCTCTTACTTCCTCCACTGCTGTCAGCCTTTTGCCTCCACCACCGGTGTTGCGAAGCTGCTGTCAGCCTTTTGCCTTCAAGATCGGAATAGCCTTCTCCGGCGCCACCAATGCTAAGAAAACGAGAGGGAGGATAGATCGATGTATACGTGATCGGCTAGGGTTTTTTTCAACAGATTTTGACTACATTCCATATTTAAAGGAATAATAAAGAACCTATTAATTATCTACCATATTTAAATATGTCAAGATTACTATAATACCCTTAAATGATTTATTTAATAATTAATTATTTCCTGAATTCTTATTGGTGCACACAGTCACACAATAGTTATCAAAAACATTTGAACGTATCTCTCTCTCTCTCTCTCTCTCTATATATATATATATATATATATATATATATATATATATATATATATATATATATATATATAACATAATTTTGGCCAAAGAAAATGACTGCTTTTTGAAGAAAAAAATAAAAAAAAAAAAGAACTCGCTCAACTCGTTAGGCCTTCAAAACAAAAACGATTATGTTCATGCTTCACATAAAAATATAAATATAATGTTGTATATAACGAATAATTATAAACATAAACTTTTTAAATAATTATATTTGACCATCTTTTTTTGGTCTTTGATAAATGATCCATGAGTTTATTTCGGACTCACTGTGAATATATTATGTGTTTTTTTCTCATTTTCAAAAAAAAAAAAAAAAAAAAAAAAAAAAAAAAAAAGGAAAAAAATGGTTTTTAAAGAGTTCCAACAATGTTCATTTTGAATTGTAATGGGTTCTCTTTATATCTTTTTTTTTTGATTAAATTACACGAATGGTCCCTATGGTTTAGGGTAATTTGCACGTTTGGTCCCTAACTTATTTTTTTAACTCGGAAGGTCCCTACTGTTTGTTTTTGTTACGCACTTGGTCCCTATCTTACCTAAAAAGACTATTATCCCCTTGATTTTTTTAATTTTTTTAAATAAACACTCCCCTAATCCCACCCCCTCACATTACCTCACCTACCCCATCATTTTTTCCTCTTTAAATAATAGTCTTTTTAGATAAGATAGGGACCAAACACGTAACAAAAATAAACAGTAGGGATCAAACGCGTAACAAAAACAAACCATAGGGATCTTCCGAGTTAAAAAAATAAGTTAGGGACCAAACATGCAAATTACCCCAAACCATAGGGACCATTCGTGTAATTTACTCTTTTTTTTTTAATTTTTTTTAAACGGTCATTTAGTTGTTAGATGTTAAATTCACCAAGTTAGTAATTCATCTATACCTGAGATTGAACCCAAGATTTCCTGTCTAAGAGGCATCCATCTCTACCAAGTGGATTAGTCCCACATTGACGGTTTTCTTTATATCAAATCTCACATTTTAAACCATTATTTATAATTCACTTTTTATTTGTTATATTTCTTTAACTTAAAAAAAATCAATATATCTTTTTTTTCCAAAATTCATGATATGTTTATTGGATAATGTATAACATTTCGGTAAAAATTAATGATATTTCAGTAAAAAAGAATAATATTTCAACAAAAAATAAAGATATTTTAGTAAAAAATAATGATATTTCATCAAGAAATTATCATTAGTGAATATAAAAAAAATGAAAAATAAATTCAATAAGAATAAACGAAAAAAAAAACGGAAAAAAAAATGTGAAATAAAATTTTAATAACATATAATCAAAATTTCAGCAATAAAAGAAGAAGATGTTGGAAGAGGTTAGAAGAGGCAGTACAAGTGCTGCGCGAAACAGAGTCTGCGCAGAGGTTTTTGACTCAGAAGACTTCTAAAAAACAAACAGCTGCGATATGAAAAGTGTTGCGAATGTGCTGCGCCGCGCATCAGTAAGAGGTTTGAAGAGGTTTTTTTCAAAAAAACAAACAGCACCTAAATCTCTCAATCCTATAATTATTTTTATATCCAAAAGTTCGTTATTGTTTCAAAATTTGTATTTGACATCACAATTTAATAAAATACCATTTTAAGTTATATATATATATATATATATATATATATATATATATATATATATATATATATATATATATATATATATATATAAGAATAATAGTAGAAATATGTATACTATTATTTACTATATACAAATTTATCGTTTAGATCACGACTTATAAACAACATGACTTGTCAGACTCATAAAAGCTTGAAACGTTACCCATAAATCGTGTCTACCATTATTTAGAAACTTGGGTACTAAGAATCTATCACTATTATATTTTGATTTTTATAGAATAATTTTACGAAAAACTTTCTATATCTTATTTTTGCCCTACTAAAAATAATATTATACTTTTATTAAAGAACAATCGAGACTTTCCATATAAGCCAAAGCCAGTTTGAAGTTCTTTTTTAACTTTCTTTATTCTCCATGAAAATTATCTCGGGTTAGCCAACTCTTCATACAAAGTCATCGAATATTCATTAGCTTTTCATAAAAGTTTACATGAAAATCAATTGAAATTTGTTAATTTAAAAAACAAACATAATATTTAAATCCAAAGCGTCTTTCAAGGATTAGTGGTTGGATTCTTTTCTTTATAAAACTGGTTTCCTTTAGGGAAAAAGTAAAAGATAAAGACTTATACCATATTTACATATTCCTTTCGTTAAACATGAATAGGAACTTTGATTCTTTAATTCATTTTCACCGTTTGTTCTTCCAAATGTTTTGATATTTATATATTTTGATCTTGCTCCAAAAAATCCATATATTATTTTAAGGTGGGTTTACTAAACGAACTTCAGTTATCTGGATTTTGTCACTTGAACAAAACATTCCAATATTCGTAATTTTTTATTCAAATTGCACACAAGTGTTGCGTATTTTGATTTCTTAACAAAGAAAACAAAATAATATTTAACCAAATATCATTGCTAAAAGTAATACATACATATATGTAGATAAAATATAAAACCTCAAAGCAATTTAAGCAAAGCAACAACACGATAATGGGACACAATACATAAAAGTAGAAGGGAACATATTATAATAGGACATTATTACTCAGTGCTTGTGGAATGTCTCTGGGTCCTTCACGATTGTCACAGCACAAGTTGCAGCTGTCAACACGTAATTTGTCACGCTTCCGAGTATTATCCTGCAAATCACGATCCACATAATTCAAGTTACCAAACCAAGTCACGCTTTAAGATTACTTATGAGATGATTGATTATCAAATTAAAGAATTTCTGTCAGGTCATGAATGATGAAACATTATTCAAATCATATCGATCGAGAGGAAGGAATGGATACCTCTGGATGGTGGTGAGGCCTCTGCTACCCATCACCAAAGAATCCAGTTTCAGATCTTCAACGGCTTCCACCAGTTTCTCTCTTGCATCTCCCCAATACAGTTTTGTTACCACATGTATCTATCAACCATAAAAATTCATATGAAATTGATCAAATACAAATACAAATACTGTTTAACAAGATAAGATAATGAAATCTATATACGAGAGATTTAAAACCTCTTTTTGTCGAGCTCCTGTATCAAGCGTGTCCAGAACTTCAATATCCATCTTCACATCGTATTTCGCCATCACTTCCGGTTCCCGGAACTCCACAAGTGGAATCAAAGCTAAACAATAACAACGAAAAAGGATGAAAAACGTTAAATACTAAAGTACAGTGATCGATCGGAAGGATGGATCATGGATAGACGATCTGATCAAGGGTAACTTACGAGAACCGGAGGCGACCCACAGTTGATTTCGAGATTCAGCGGTGGAATGAGGTTTGACATGGATGATGTAGAACGTGTCGCCTTTATCAGCCAAGTTGTCGATTGCCCATTTCAAAGCTGTTTTACTGCTGTTTGAGAAATCCATCGCTATGCCAACCTTCCGATCCTTCACCATGTTTGCGAAACTCCGACGATCTATTATACTGTACGTGATCCAGAAGCAGATCTACAAGACTTTGATTCGGTTTCTTTGGAATAGATTTGGTCTGTTGCTCTGGTCTCTGGAGGGAGGAGTTGGAGATGGAGTTGGGTAGTTTTAAAGGGGAGCAAGGAACCAGATGCCGAGTCGAAACACGGTTTTGTGGCGGGGCGTGAAAGATCCGACCGGGTTACGCATGCACGATCCTTATCCATTTCTGTGTACCGATAAAACCAACACCTGACTCCCACTCTTTGTAAATGATTTGCCAAAAAAAAATCCATATCTTTCTCAACTGATTCAATCCATTCAGCTAAAGAAATACAAAACAACTAAGATATAAATAAGTTTAAAAATAGATGGTACAAGAGAAAATAAGAAAAAGAAACTAAAGAGAGAGGATGAAATCGGTTAGCGAAACCAATTAAAAAACTCGCTGAAGATAAGTGATATCGACGATAACTCTATTGCTAATTAAGATTTTACATTGATTGTTTTGTATTTTCTTTAATAGAATGGGTTGAAAAAGATAGAGTTTTCGTGTGTTGTGGATTGGGAAAAATGAAAAATAAAAGAGAAAAACTGATGTGACAGTGGGTTCAGTGAGTTGGGAGGAAATAACCCCCTCATCAGTCATCCCATATGACAAAATTTTATAACTGATCCCTGATGTTTATAAAATATTACAAGTTAAGGACTTTTATGAAAAATGTAACGTCGTTGCCGAGAGCCAGGCGACAGAGATGCTGATGGATACGTGACGAGGCTATGGGTGGTGGTTGCGCAACAAGACCGTTGCCGAGAGCCAGGCAACAGAGATGCTTCGGGATAAGCGACAATACTATAGGTTGGGGACGCGCAACGAGACTATTGTTGAGAGCCAGGCAACAGAGATGCTGAGGGATACACAATGAGTCTATTGGTAGGGGTTGCGCAACAAGACCATTGTTGAGGGCCAGGCGAAGAAGATGCTGAAAGGTTGTAGGTAGCAAGGATGTTGTTGTGATTGCGTTTTTGCTGGAGAGTAACTTCACAGTAGTTGGATGTAATGTGGAAAACACTTTATCGATCGTTTGAGCACAAGAAAATCATGATGATTTTGGGAGAAGACACCAAGAGCATGGTGCTAGGAATGGTATAAACGTATGGTGCGTAACTTAGGGTACGCAACGATACACCACTTATGTTACGCGGCTTAGAGGAATAGCTTGGGCTTAGCAACCAACATTCATGGAGATGTCACGCGAGAGAGCATCACGTGGAATCATATAGGCAAAGGTTGCGAGCCTTTGAACCTTGTTGGCGGGGAATGCCATTGATGGAGTCGGACTAAGAAGCCAAGTGACTCAAGATAAGGGTGTTGAACCTTACATGCAGAGCTTTCTGAGAAGCCATACGAATCAATGCAAGGGTGTTGAACCTTGCAGCGGAGCTTGTCGCCATAATGGAGTCGAAAAGTGAAGCCAGACGACTAGGGTGATGATGTGACATCCCCAATTTCACGGCAAAAAGCCATGATGGAGTCGAAAAGTGAAGCCAACCGAGAGCCAGGCAACAGAGAAGCCATACGAATCAAGCCTACTGCTGGCCTCGGGCGTAGTACCACCATTCTGAAATACAAAGAAATAACAACTGTTAGCGATATTGATAACCCTGGAAGGATCCCACCCACTACAAGTTCCCTGGTCTTATCTTAGCCTTCCTCGGTTCGGGTACGGATCCTCTGCTTTCAGTAGTACGGGCCCATACTACCTTCCACATCTATTTGTACCTTCCCCAAAGACCGCCTCGACTCAACCAGGTCCCTTCCACTACCGCTGATCACTGCTACTCTTTATCCTAGGCTTACCCTAGGAAACCTCTGACTCCACCCAACCCAGTCCTCAGCTGCTGAAGGCCTCTTGGTGATGCCAATTAACTATTACCTGAATACAATCACATGTGATGAGGCTCGGATAATCCTTCGATTAAGGGACTCATCTCTACAACGGTTAGGACTCAAACAAGAGCTACGCAATAAAGTCAAATCCAACACTCTGAGATTATTCAACCCTGATCACATGTGACTTTAACGTATTCACCTAACAGTTAACTCCCATCACTTCAAAGCCCACATAGCACAAAGCAAACAACATTTGGACATAAGGAAAACAATCTCAAGCGACTTTATCCTCGTAGAGAAAACTGAACTAGCATACAATGCTAAACTCGTACTATCAGGAATAACCTAAACATGTTACCCTACTGCTGTCTACTCAACTCTGGCATGTAACTCTTTCATATATTGAAGCACATAAAGCAAGCACATAAGGCATCACTCCTAGATCCTTAGTCCTATTCTAACATGTTGTTCTACAGAAACTGATAACATAAATAAACTTGTATGGGTACATTGGAGAATACTTACTTCAGCTCGGCCGGTCGCGCACATCACACGCTTTGTTCTTTCGTAAAACCCTTTACTTAGCCTTTTAGCAAACATTTTCTCTTTCCAAAATCCTTTAATCCCTCGATTTTAGTTCAAACACCCCCGAAGGTGTGTCCGAATCCCTCAAACCAGGGCTCTGATACCAACTTGTAACGACTAAATTTTCACGTCCAGAAATTTCGTTTTTAAAACTTTACTTAGAAAACACTAATAATTAAAACATTGTTTAATTAAACTATTTCACATCGAAAACCCAAATTTGAAATCCACAACATGTAAACAACCAAAACATCAGAGTATCAATCCCAGAATAAACTCATAACTGCAGAAATAAAAGTGTGTGTGATATGCTGCTACCGCGCCGGCTCCTTTCCCTTAGCTGAAGAGGTACCTGAAACCAAAACTGAAAACTGTAAGCACAAAGCTTAGTGAGTTCCCCCACTGTACCACATATCACATAATCACATAACATACATAAATTGTCAGGCATATCTGGGTGCCCGACCTACCCCTTCGGTCCTCTCGACCGGATACTGCCTAGCATATCTGGGTGCTGGCCTCCCCTTCGGTCCTCTCGACTGGATACTGCCTAGCATATTTGGGTGCTGGCCTCCCCTTCGGTCCTCTCGACCGGATATTGGGGAAACCATTTCTCCCCTCTACTACTACCACATAACATGTATCACAATATCATAATCTATCTAACATGGTTGGGTATGACTACCCTTTCGGCCCTACCGACCAGATATCTTGGGGACTATCTTCCCCTACTGTCACTAGCACATAAATACAACACAAGTAGTGGTAATCCCTTAGATTAATATCACAGAGACAATCATCTACATACAACTCCTACTGGTGGGTCGGCATTGTGGCCGTAGACCCACCGTTACTGGAAGGTAACTCACCTCAAAGTAGCTGCTGATCTGATCGGAAACTGACTGTCTACTGCTGTTGCTGCGGACGCCCTCCGGCTATAATTCCCACAAAATGATCAGTCAAACATTGCTAGATGTACTTAGGGTAAAATGACCCTTTTACCCTTGACCAAGTCAAAATCCAAGTCAAAGTCAACTTCCAGTTGACTGGACTCGCCGAGTCCGCGAGCAACTCGTCGAGTCCTTCCCTAACTAATCCGGTCCTACTCGCCAAGTACCTTTCCCCACTCACTGAGTCACCCTTGACTCACCACTTGGGACTATGGGGCCGATTTGAGTACCGACTCGCCGAGTCCTCGAGCAACTCGTCGAGTTTGAAGAACAACTCGGCGAGCTCCAGGCAATCTTCATAGGACTCGCCGAGTTGTTCATCCAACTCGTCGAGTCTAAGACCATCTTCATATAACTCGCCGAGTTCCACTTTGGGACTCGCCGAGTTCCTCGACCCATTTCCCAAGTAGGCCAGATCTGAGACATGCAATGCTTCAAAACCACAGATCTATGGTCCTAGGGCATGTTTACCACGTAAAGTTGCAAACTTTACGTGCATGCACGGCCCAATGGGCTCAAACATGCAATTCCAAGCTCTTTAAGAGGTCTTACACTCAATAGGGACCTCAATCACCTCAACCACAGAGACTTTATGCTACTAGGATGTCCTAAAGGTCCAAATCTAAAGTCCTTGCAGAACTTTAACCATAAACACATAGAGATTTAGGTTCTTAGGGCTTAAAACCTCTTTTTAGGGACAAGAAGGGGGTTCAATGAACTAAAGATCAAGGTAGGAACTTTTCTACCTAAATAAAAGCCCCTCACAGAGTAGATTCCGGATCTTCTTCTCTTCTTGCACTCCTCAACCTTCTCCTTCTTCTCCCAAGCTCCAAAACCACCTTCACAATGCTAAAAATATCACCCACAAGGACACAAAGGGCTAGGTTTGCGTTCTACAGACCTATGGGAGTGCTAGGGGAAATGGAGGTTGGGTTAGATCGTTTAAATAGGGTGCAAACACTCGGGTTAGGGTTTTAGTCCAGACAGGGTCTACTCGCCGAGTCCCACGGGCCTACTCGCCGAGTAGACATAGCTGATCCCGTGTCTATTCCTGCTTCTACTCGACGAGTTAGTCCTTCAACTCGTCGAGTCCAAGATTAAAATGCAATACATAAGGAGAGTTAATAATCAAGAATACATACCAGGAACCAGGTGCTACAAATCTCCCCCACTTATTTTAGACTTCTTCCTCGAAGTCTGCTGCTCGATCCTGAAACAGCTCGGGGTAATGCTCCATCATTTCTTCCACCAGCTCCCAAGTCCACTCGGACCCCTTTCGGTGCTGCCACTGCACCTTCACTAAATCCACCCTCTTGTTCCTCAGATCCTTCGACTTCCGGTCGAGGATTGTGACTGGGCGCTCAATGTAATTTAGGCTGTCATCAACCTGTATATCCTCTAATGGTACCACCGCTGAATCATCCACTAGACACTTCCGCAGCTGGGAGACATGGAAGGTGTTGTGGATCTGGCTGAGCTCGGCTGGCAGATCCAACCTATATGCCACCTTGCCCACCCGGGGTACAACCCTGAACGGACCAATGTATCTCGGGCCCAACTTGCCCCGCTTCCTGAATCGAATGACGCCTTTCCAAGGCGACACCTTCAGGAGAACCATATCCCCGACCTGGAACTCTTGGTCTGATCGACGCTTGTCGGCGTAACTTTTCTACCGACTCTGCGCAGTCTGAAGCCTGCTCCGAACCTGCTGAATCCTCTTGGTAGTCTTGAGCACCACTTCGGTGCTCCCCATAACTCTCTCACCAACCTCTCCCAAGCAAATCGGGGTCCTGCACCTCCGTCCGTACAACATCTCGAATGGAGGGCGGTCGATACTCACGTGGTAGCTGTTGTTGTACGAGAACTCAGCCAAGGGAAGATAAGTATCCCAACTACCACTAAAGTCTAGCACGCCCGCCCGCAACATATCCTCCAGAGTCTGGATGGTCCGCTCGCTCTGACCATTTGTCTGTGGGTGAAAGGCGGTGCTAAAATGCAAACGAGTACCCAACTCGTCATGAAACCTCTTCTAAAACCTGGAAGTAAAACGCACATCCCTGACCGAGATAACAGATATTGGCACCCCGTGCTGCGCCACAATCTCCCTAATATAGATATCGGCCAATTTCTCGGCCGAAATGCTCTCCTCAATCGGAATAAAACGAGCACTCTTGGTCAATCAATCGACGATGACCCAAATCGAATCTACTCCACGCGCGGTCCTGCGAAGCTTCGTGATAAAATCCATCGTGATATCTTCCCATTTCCACAGCGGGATGTCCAACGGCTGCATCTTTCCATGCAGCCTCTGATGTTCGGCCTTGATCTTCTTGCAGGTCAAGCACCACTCGACGTACCATGCCACATCCCGCTTCATGCAGGGGCACCAATAGTCTAGGCGAAGATCCCGATACATCTTCATCGCCCCTGGGTGAATATAGAATCGGGATTTATGCGCCTCTTCCATCAAGATCCGGTGCACGCCTCCATGATACGGGACCAATACCCTACGGTGTAGTGTCAATAACCCCCAACTATCATAATCGAAAGAGGTGACTTGACCCACTATTCGCTCACTCTTCCAATGCTCCTCCTTCATAGCCTCCCGTTGGGCCTCTCGAATCTGCTCCAACAGAGGAGTCACCACGGTCATCCTCATGCAAACATCCCTAATCGGCGCCGCCTTGCGGCTAAGCGCATCGGCCACTACATTGGCCTTCCCCGGGTGGTAAACGATCTCGCAATCATAATCCTTTACCACGTCCAACCACCGACGCTGCCTCATGTTCAGATTCGGCTGATCCATGAGGTACCTCAAACTCTTGTGGTCCGTGTAGATGGTACAACGAACCCCGTAGAGGTAATGCCGCCAAATCTTGAGAGCGAAAACCACCGCCCCAACTCCAAATCATGCGTCGGGTAGTTCGCCTCGTGAGGCTTCAGCTGCTTCGACGCATAAGCAATGACATGCCCCCTCTGTATCAATACTGCGCCCAGGCCTGAGATCGACGCATCACAATATACCACAAAATCCTCTACGCCCTCGGGCAGGGCTAATATTGGTGCCTCGCACA